GGCATGGGGACGTCTTCGAAGCGTGCCGATCAACGAAAAGTCTGTCAAATACTCGAGATATGCATGCAGAACATTAGATACATAGGACATAGTGATAAGACAGTAGACTAGAACGTGAGACGGCATAAGATGGCGACCATACATGGCCAGACATGGAACAGAGCAAAGGCGAGCCGAGCAAAGAACGAAGAAAGGATAGAGCATGTACGACACCAATGCATATATCGGCCCGGAGCATAGCTGGAAATACAGCCGCACCACATGCGCAAGCTCACAGTCATGCATCAGCGAACACCCTCCTCACCCGTCTCCCGCGGAAAATGTATGCCCTTCCCTGGACCTCACCCTCGCCCTCAAGAGGCGGGAACGCTGGCGAGCTCCCAAGCGAAAAGTCGAGGTTGCCTTGGCTGCCGTCGTCGGACTCGAAGACGTCCCATCGGGGTGGAGTACCCCGCGCCTCCGCTGGCGGTGCTGCGGACCTTCGTGGCACTGGCGCGGGGGGATATTCCGCGAAGCGGCTGGGCCCCGCCTGTGTGGCGTGCGATGGCTGAGCATGTGGTGGCGCCTGACCGGAGGAAGAAGCCTGCGAAGACGATTGCTGAGAGTTCTCGTGCGGGTAGTAGTGCCGGGCTTTGCTTGGACCGTCTCTCTCCTCGTCGTCAAGCTCCTGACTGACGTCGAGGCTGCTGACCTTAATGATGTCGAAGACGGAAGGGCTACCCAGCCGCAGCGGTAGCGGCCGTCTGCCGACGTATGCCACCGCTGTGCCTGAGGCGGAGGCGCCGCGGTTGTCGATCCGGTGCGCGGCATCGACGTCTATGGGCGCGGAACGTCTGCCGCCCGCCAGTCGTGGGCGTTTTAGCATCGGTATGATGAGCCTGCGATCGTTCTTGTCACCCAAATCTGAGGGCCCCTCGCCGGGCGAGTATTCAAGTGCTGCTTGGGTGCTGCTACGCTTTTTAGCGTGCGATGAAGACGGGCGCTGCTTGCTACATGCGTCTGTCAGAACCATGCTGCCATAAGCTGGAGGGACACGTACTCTTCCGCAAGCAGCTTCTTCAGCTTGCTGTATTTCTCTTTGACGTCCCTATACTTCTTCTCCCAATCAGCGACCTCGAGCTCCAGCACGCCATTCTCTTCCGAGACGGTCTCGAGGTCGTCGCGTAACTGACGCTCCTTCTCGCGGTAATTAGCGACAGCGGCTTGGCTAGCTTCGCACGTATCCATAAGCCGCTGTTTATCGCGTTGTAGGTGATCATTCTTGCGCTTCAGGACGTCAATCCTCTCGCGGAACCGAGTGTTGTCCGTCTGAAGCTTGTCATTCCGCTTTTCGAGAGTCTGCACTACGTCGGAAGGCGAAGGATACACGCGCCGCACTGCGGGCTGTATGAATGCATGGTATTTCTGCGGCACGAACCGGAGATCCAGGGTCGCTATACGCGCGCAAGGTCAGTGTTCGCATCAGCCACTCTCGCAAATGTACGTACCGATCGTAAAAGGAGCTCGACACGTCGGGCAGGGGCACTCGACAGCGTTGTTGCATAGCTCGACGCATTTTATGAGGCACGCCTCGCAGTGAATGTGGCCACACGGGACGACAACCGGGGATTGTGCATCTTCAAGACAAATGATACACGTTGTGCCGGACATTGGGGACAGCGGTGATTGTGGGGAAGTGACGCCCGGAGTTGTAGATGGTAGGAGTTGTCGGTAGTCGAGGTAGCGCGAGACGTTCCCTGCGCTGCTTTGTCGGTCGATACCGCCGCTGTTCGCGTCGAGGAAAGAGAGAACAAGGGTGCGAATCTGCAAGAGACAGGAGACGCCCATTTTGATGTCTCAACGCGGTCACGTGCCAGGCCGCGTCGCTGCCTCGCGCGCCTGTTCCTTCTTCCCACCACCCCACTTGTCGGAGATTTCCTTCCGAAACACCAAAAGGTGCTCGCTCAGTTCCGCATGTACAAGATGCTGGTTTGAGCTAAATAGAATCTTGCTTGCGCAGAATATTAACAACATTTCTTCCTGCGTCATCCTGAGCGAGTTATTCGTACCCATGTCGGAAGAGATCACCAGCGAAGCGCAAAGCAAGGACATGCTGCGAATATACTGTGCTATATGCGCAGGTTACCACCCTCCTGAGTCAATACGCGGCTTGCCCTGCGGTAAGTCTTCTTCAGCCTCTGAACGCAGCCGACATTGAACGAGAACTTCAGGCCATGTATTCTGCGAGTCAGGCCTGGAGAACTGGTTCACCACGCTGAACCCACCCCGGAGGGGAGACCGATATCCACGCATTTTCCGCAAGCGGCTGTGCCCTAGCTGCCGCGCTGAGCTGGAGCTAGGGGACCACCTGCTCCCGCTCTTCCTGCAGGGCTGCTTCGCACGGCCGGACGCTGCGGAGTCCGAGACGGTGTACGAGGAAACAGAA